GGTTTCAGCCTGCAGAAACCTTTTAGCATTGGTTGCCAAAGGCCACATTATAGTTCCATTAACAGGCATTTTTTTAGAAATCATTAAGGGTTAATGCAACTCTCTTGTGAAAGAAAAGCTGACTTAAAATCAACATACATGTATTCACTGGGCTATGATGCATTCACATTGTGCTAATAATGAAAAGAATGAGGTAAACTGGGAGGCTTTATTGAAAACTGCTGCTTACTTCCAGGTACACTCTATAAAGCAGAAGACCACTATTACTATACGCAGAAGATGAAGGAGATTCTCTAAGCAAAATTGAAATAAAACAGAGTAGATGGAGACCCAGCAACCTGTGAAGTGGAACACAAACATTCCTGCAGTACTATAAAGACAAATGCACACACACAACAACCAAGTGCAAAAGATACAAATATTTTTGTGGAGAAAGTAACCATTCTTCTATAAGGGTCACTGTGGATATAGATGGTGGTGGTAGCAGATAATGCAACGTGTGTGGTGTAGTAACTACAGACGGCTTCTGCACCCATTAAAAACTTGGGTGACCATCAGCTAATAGCTGAGTTTGCAAATAGTTTTGATGGATGTCAGGTAAGAGCAAGGAACAAGAGGTTGGCAAAGGAAAACACAACTCTCCCCTCTTCTTCAAAGCATTTGCTACCCACAAGGGGATGCAACAGGATATGCGCCTGCACAGACATGACCTGTGTGAGAGTCATGCTACAAGAAATAACAAATACAACACATTTCTTTACAGCAGCATTATCACAAGACCAGCAAGCATTTTTCAGAGCTCACTGAAAGAACTATACATAACCTGTGCTATCTTCCTTATGCTACATCAAAGTTTCCTGAAGAGGCGTGCAGAACTAGTTAAATTTGTTGTGTACTGGAACAGTTATGCTTTCTACATACAAGAGGAACAATATTTTGCCTCATTGCAGAGGTGCAAAATAGATTCAAACTGATCATTCAGGGAATTGCCTAATGCAAAGGCGGCACCCTTTAAACCCATTTTTAGAAAACAAAATTATGGCTGTGATTACCTTCCTGACACAGTAAGAATGACATACACTCTTCTTTATTTTCGCCTCCAGGTATTTGTTTTGGAATATTACTTTTCATTCCTACTTTAGCCTTTAACTGCTTCCTAAGTGACAAATGGTGTGCTGTGGGGAAAGGAGCCTTACCTTAGACTAAAATTCTCAGCCAGCTTTGCCCTTCCCTGCCTGGCTGTATTTACAGCCACACCTGTCCTGACCAAGCACAAAATGCCTGCAGAAATGCTGCTGATTCCAAACTCTTCACCAACAGTGAGACAGCCTGTTACACCCACTGCAAACAGGGATAAGTGCCCATACCAGGGCAGCAGCAAACCTCTGTTATAATTCTTGTTATGGCTTTGGGAATTAACTTTTTTTTTTTTTTAACTAAAAGAACAAGACATAAGAAGCCAAAAGCTCTTCCCTCACCCATGAGAAAAGACACTCAAATCATATGTAGCATTATTACTCACCTGAATCAACCATAATGCTCCAACATGTCCTTCCCTAACTGAAATGTCATCTATACTACATACTTTATGACTGAACATAATGAGTGAGAGGAATTTTTGTACAGCATTAAGGAAAACGTAACCAAGATTAAAAAGGAAACTATGAAATTCTGATGCCTCTTCCTGAGCTGAGCACTGAAAAAATGCTGCAATTTCCAAGGACATTGCTCTTCCACTTAAATAAGATTGTAAAGGTATGAATGATGATTGACGCTCCCTTACCAGCTTAAAAGATTCTGGAGTGAGGATGCAATCAGAGGTTTCTATGATGGAAGAAGTAAGTGTGACATAAAATGCTTCAAGTGCTTCTGGCAAAAGAGAGAGGAAAAAGCCAGATACCACATCTTCTGAAGGCAGGCATGGAAGTATAACTACTACTGAATGCAGAGTGTATTATTTTGTCCTTTTTTCCTCCCCATCATAAGCAGCTATGTTCTGCTCTGCTACAGGTATCTAGAACTACAGGGGATTCAGGAAATTAAACAGTCTATATGTAATTAGTCTATATTCTATTTCTGCTGAATGGATTATCCCCCCTACACACACAGCTGAACTCCTGCACAACACACATGATAAATGCGTACTGGAAACTTGGAACAGAACAACACTGAAGGACAAAGGATGACCTTACCAGCTCTAACACCTGTTGCCATTAAAATGATATTTTATGTTTGACTCACAAAGCCAGAAAATACTTGAGTGGAAAACTGAAGATCTAAATAAGCAAAGAAGAAAGCAAAATCAAGGAACCTGAAGCCATAACAAGGTTGAGGGTGTTAAGTCTGTATTGAGGTTTTTTTACTTTTTTACCTCCTGGTTTTGGTGGCAATGGAGTATTCTCAAAAATGTGAAAATACCTGACATGTATTTATTTCACTATTTATAAAGTTTAAAAGCAAACCAAAACCAAACCCCATCCTCATAAGAAATCATACGGGAACATTATTCTATTGATTCCATTACCGTCATATTGTGAAACAAGTCACCCCTCAGAACAGGTGAAAATAAGTCACACATTATGTGAAATGTGTGATACTTGTTTTTTTTTTTGATTAAGAGATGTAAAATTATTTCAGTTGCATTTACTTATAGATCACTTCTTTATTTTTAAAAGCATGTATAAGTAACACAACATTTCATACAGCTAACATTTATTTTCCTAGCTGTGAGAACTATCTGAAATAATTGGAAAGTTTGGTCCTTTGAAGAGATGACTAGTTTCACAATATGACTGAAATGTATGCTGCGGGTTCTCTAATGAACACAGGAATGAGGGAGGACTATGATTTTTTTTTTATGGACATCACATCTCTCTGAAAACCGAAGACTGATAAACAGTTTTTCCTCTGAGTAACTTGTGCCACACGCATTTGCAGTGGGTGACCTGAAGAAACAGCTTACGTTTGAGTTTCCAGGCAAACAACATCTGAAGGACAAGTTTGCTAAATGTGGCATCACCCACAGGCAGCTCTGTCAGCTGTAGAGGTCTGATGTCTCTGATCTCTGGACAAGGAATCAAAATATCATGTGCATGCTTTGGATACTCCCAGCAAGCAGCCAGGTGATCTTGCCTGTTACAAGCAGAAGAGCAAAGACTCATGCTGGGCCCCAGGAAAGAAGGGAAGAAGTCACTATAGGCTACAAGATGCAATGCCAGAAGAGGACCACAGGTTGAGTACAGACAGAGAAGTGGTTTTTGAGATGAAAAAAAATGGAGCAAACTGTTGCACTTCTAATAGTGCAGATCAACATTTTGTTCACTTGGTACAAGATGTTGTACTAATAGCAACTCCAGCAAGACTGACAGACATGTGAAGCGCTGTAGCTCCATCTCTTCTGGGCATGACAGTTATTCAGCACCAGCTGGCAGGAATAAAGTGGGAGAACAGCCCTGTCAGGTGGAAGAAACAAACAAGATCTTGAAGTGTTCATGGTCCTGCTCATCAAGCTGGAAGTAAGCTAGAAGAGTAACAAAATCTCTGGTCCTTGAATTTCTGTGTTAGAGCTGACTCAGCTTAGGTAAGATCAAAATGCTCCTCAAGGTTTATGAGTCTCACAGGCAACCTGCAGGGCCATGAAGTCTCAAAGAACGGCCAGAAGGAAAAACCCATTCTTGCGATGCATCTCAACAGACCAACTCATTGGAGCATAAGGGGATACAAGGTCACTTAAAAAAACATGAACACACCTGAGAATGAGCCTGCAGGAGGTACCTCTGGCAAAGGAGTGGCATTCGAGCAGAGACCTAACATCAGATACGCAGGCCTGAGGAGGACATAATTGCTCCCCAACTACAAGAAATGGCTGAAAAGGAACAGAACTGAAAGATCATAGAAGAAAAATCAAAGCAGAATGAAAACAGGAGCCCTCCTGCCCCCAAGACCTAGTTCCAGCCCTGGGCACTAAAGTGGAATCCCCATCTTAGGAGGTTTGTTTTGTATCACCTACATCTGTTTATTATTATAGTTACCACAGAACATTGCTGGGGAATATTTCCCATGGATGACTGCACTTCTAATAGTAGATGTAACAAAACATCTAGAATGTCAAGTTTTGTAATGACCATGAGAAACATTTTATGGAAAAAAATTAAGAGTAAAAAATAGTTGTCCAAAATGCCTGTAACTCTGCTAACACTCTCCTGCAAATATCCACACACCACAACTGACCTATCAGTGAGAAAGCTTCATGCCTGGAGCGAGACAACAGTGACAGGAGAAAACAAATGAAAAAAGACGTCCTCTTGCTTTCCGCCCCCCATCAATGCTTTGGATATACACATCGTCAGGCCTTTGAGCTTTGTTTAATTATTTTGTGCAGGGGACTGGAATCCTCTAAGTGTTTGTGTATGCATGTGAGAGTGTGAACACACAGCAGAATTCAGTAGCTACACAAAGTAATAGCACTTTTAAAGTCCTGAACTATCCCTCAGCTTCTACTGTTTCAATTTATCACTTCTTAAAATTCAATAAATCTGATACCAAATCATTAAGCAATTCTGTATTTGCTCCAATAAACAATATTTGATTAATCATAAGAATGATGAAACAGGATGATATTACCAATAAGACCCACATAGTGCAATGTATTTTATCCATTCTACTGGAAAAAAATAGTTTTACTGAGAACAGTACTGTCTAGTAATGGTAGACCCTCAGAATGGAAATTTGAGGATGGCATTACTGTATTTATGACCTGTGTGAGGCCTGCATAGATCTGCAGGTTTCTATCTCCCCCAAGTGGTCTTGGGGACTTCCTACCCACCATACAATGAATACTGTTGCCATGGAATTAGCTGCACAAGCAGTAAGGTGGGTAAGTGGCTTTTTGATATTATTATATTGCGCATTTCTCCTACATAATTTTTACAATGTATCTGCATACTGACTGTGTATAACTTAAAAGCTGTGCAATATAATAAAAGAAAAATGCCACTTACCTGACTTTCCATTATCTGGTCTATAAGAATTCAGTGTCTCACTAGTATGCTAAATATCGGGATGTCATAGGAGAGCAAAGAGTCAGTCTTTTGACAACGAAGAATGTCATGTAGCCTAAAAAAAAATTACAATGGGTTTTTGCTTCTCTAAAGGAAAAACAGACTATATCAACTTTTTTGTTAAGCCAATCATTTTAAGTTTTCCTTCCAATGAAATTGAAGGTGTTTCTGTCACATCTTGCCACTCTTTCAGAAGTGTTTCTGCCACTCCAGACACCCTGTCTATATCCCTTCACAAGAAATCACTATTTTTTCCTAAACGTCTTTCCTAAATGATACCTTCAATATATACACCACTTTGTAAATCTACTTAAACCATGTTTAGGGGCAGGAACAAGAGTGAGGAAGTTGGAGAAACTCTATAATCAGGCAGAGAAACTTACTACTAATAAACAAAATAATTTTTGCTAAAACTACAGAAAATTTACTGCAGTTTAAAACACTGTTTAAATGTTCAATCAGGATCATTTAGTAAGAATAAAAATACCCCCAAAACAAACAACCTGGATCTAGAGAATGCACCAGGTGTCTTGACACAGCATGATAAATAAAATTAATGAAAACATGACTTAGAAAGGGCAGGACAAAGAAAAGCCAAAAACCCTAGCAAAAGCAAATGAAACAACAAAAAAAAACCAACCTACCAAATTACAGAAGACTGAATTGCTGTGTGGTATCAATAAAATTTTCACATCAAAATTTTTTAAAAATATAAAGAGCACCCTTTACACATACACAGTACAAAGAGATTTGCTGAATGCTAATACATTAAGAGTAAGCACACTAAAGTCCTCTAAGTACAATGAAAGCTGAATTAGCGGGAAAAAGTATGTTCCATTTTCTGCCATATTGTAAGACACTTTACTTGTACTCCATAATCAAGCTAGACAGATACTTAATGTCCAAGACTACAGCATCCTTTGATAAGGTGTAAAGAAACCTCAGGTACAGAGCATTACGCTGAGGCAAAATTCAGCTACCTTCAGACTGAGGTCAATTGAAAGCCAGCTTTACACAAGATTAATAAGAAAATGAGTAGCATTTCTAGCCTGATGCTATCTTTGCAGTGGTGACTTTAAGATATTGTTGATTCTTCAAAAAACCCAGTATGGTTTACAATGCTTTCATTTCCTTCCTATTCTCAATATCTGCAATTCAAATAAATAGACCTCTGTCATGTAAAACTGGATCAGTTGTTTTTTTTTGGGGTAGAATATAGCAATATATTTTCCTCTGACATTATATAATACTCCAGCTAACATTTCTTGAGTCAGTGCATGAAGTTCAGTTTTGTAAAGACAAATACCAGTGAAATAACAAAGGCTGAACTTTAGCTGCACAATACAATTCTGCACAAATTCACAACAGAATTAAGAATAAAAAGTAACTCAATATTAAACAACTAGAAAACTCCCACTGTGCCTCCGCAATGTCTGGCCAAAATCTTTCTGCATTGGTGCTTTTCAACGATAATCAGGAAATTCATTACCAAGGCTCACAAGCTTTTAGAATAATTTTCTATATGTCTGTTGCTTAGCATCCCCAGAAGCTTATTGGAAGCAGAACTCAAAACTGAAGACAGAAAAAGTAAACCTGAATATCTTCACCGATTATATAGGAATTAAACTGAACTCTTTAGTGCTGTAGAGCAAGAATGGAATTTTCCATTGTGACAACAGTATCTAGTTTGATGAACAACATCACTTAGAAAAACAAGACAATGTATAAGCAACACATTCCTTACTATCTATATTAACCTACAAAGAAGAGCTAAAGGACAGATAAAAGGAGAATATCTTCACCAAAGACAAAACAAGCCCTAGAAAAACAAGTAGTCATCAAAAAACAGTCGTAACTGGGTGAAAGGGGAAGGGGGCAGGGGGATATTGTGACCACTGACTCAATTCAGGACTCAGAAATCTTCCCTACCCTGCCCCATCACAGAGCATGCATGCTAACTTAACATGGCAAGCAAAGACAATTTATCCAATATAAGATAGAGCACTAATTAATTATATATCCTGTAAATTTTGACCAATGAAAAAGAATTCCTTTGTTCTCTGAAATGTATATAATCTGATCTACACAAAACTAAGGTGTGCTAGCTTTGTGGAGCTTCCATCTAGCACCCCCTTTTGCAAAATATCTGACAATAAAATACCTCAACTCTGTGTGCATACTGGTATTTTGCACATGGGGCAAGGATACCACTTTTATAACAACATTAGGACCCTTGATAAATTCAAAACTCGCATGAAGTTTAAATCCAAACCACTGTAAGCCCTCTAAAGCAAAGGTGAAAATTTAGAAGACATTTCCTAGAAGAAAAATATACTCATAGCACCCAACACCAAGAAGCAAGCCTTATACCAACTTTATCATACATGCAACTGAAGAATTACCTGTTTTTAAAAGGAAGAATCCATGACAGCAGGTAAAGAAGCAAAGATAAATGATGTTCTATACCAACAAAGTGTGGCAGAACCAGAATTGAATGGTATTTCTTACCTACTCAAAAAAGAACATGCATAAATATACACCACTTTCCCATTCAGCTGTACAGCAAAGGGATTACATTATTTTTCCCTTTGCAAAGTTTCATTAATACTACTTAAGTGTTTTCTTTCACATCAGGAGAGACCTGCTTTCCAGTGTCATGTTCTTCACATTCATTCTTGAGCCATGGCACTGCTCTCTTTTTTGGTGACTAGCATTTCCTGCAGGTTACTGCAGAAACATCTACAATTATTCTAAAGTTGTGTCACAGGAACATGGCCCATACACATGGGTTTCGATCTTCCAAATGGAAAGACTATGCCAACAACTGTAATACAGGGGGAAAATCTCAAATTGTTTATTAAAAGGCATGTTACAACAGCACCTTTTTGTTGCCTTATAGTACGAGCTCAAAGACAGCTTTGAAAAAAATGTGTTACCATGAGAAAGGGCTATACAGCAAATACAGAACTCTCTCTTACAATGCCTTTGAAAATTCTGGGGAGGAGAACGCATTATATGCCCTAGCTGTTGTTTTCTGAAAGATTTCCAAGGAAAAAAAAAGTCTGGATTTAGTTAATGGTTAAAACAACCAAATACCAACACCAATAGGTTGTAAATATCTTATTAAAAACAACCACACACATACAACTACAAAAAAAAAAAAAAATCTATCATGAAATCACAAAACACTGAAGGACCATTAAGTATTTTGGACTTTTGGTTCTAGGTCTCAAGGAGTTTGCAAGGTGGAGCTGGGGGGGGTGGGGGGGGGGTGGGGGGTGGTGGTGGTGGAATTTCCTTCCTTCCTCTTACATGGTCCATGTGGAAATCAGAAGTTAATCTCACAGGGAGTCAAGGAAGAGCAGCCCATCTGAAAATACAAGGTGGTGCTGGCATCCTCTTCATCCTTCTCACCTGTGTGTGGTTCAGGATTTCTGCATCCCATACCCAAACCCAGGGATACAGAGAACTTCAGTGGCTACAACTGTGGAGTAATTCCTTGCTCCTCCTTCCCTCCAGAGAAGTGCTTGGAGAGGGCAGGTGTGGGACCAGGACAGGAATGCACCCTCCTGCAGGGCAGGGAAGTAGAAACATCGTCAAGGTGGGCTAAACAGTGTCTTTGACTGTGCAGAATCACTGTTCTGACTTTGGTATCATTCAATGTCACAGAAATGGAATTGGTTTGCTGCCTATGTAGGTAATCTTACCTTCTGCTGCTAACTGTAAGCTTCTTGCATTTTTGTTCAGTTAGTAACAAATGGTAGAAACAAGCCTAAATAACTGCACGGATATCTATAGCACAGGACAGTTTTCTAACAAAAACAGACTTAAGTGTTCCCAGAAACCAGAAGTTTAGTGCATTTTTGTACTTACTACAACAGCAGCAGAACACTTAACTATATAGTTTCACAATAAAAACAAATCTTTGAAAAGTGATTTTTTTCCATCCCTGTCATCCCAAAATCTCCTGATGGTTTCACAACCACAGATAAGCAATGATAGTGCCTTTTCAAATGGGTCAGTAGCTCCCAAACCTGAATCTCAGCTACAACGCAGTGGAAAATTTTTGCAATGAATATGTTCCTAAAAATGGTCCAATATATAAACATACTATAGAACAAATTTTTACTAAGGGCGTGAATATTTCTCAATGGGATATTGGAAACAGCATTTCAGCATCATTTTACTCACAGTCTCCTGAATGTGATAATAGAAAACAGGAGCATTAATGCAAGAAGTGTCATCACCTTCTCCTCAGGTTTTCTGGCTCTGAATCATGTTGTTACCTTACTTGATCCAAAACCAATACAAATGTGACCCAGACACCCAGACTAGCAGACTAGCCAGTTGGATCAGGGTAGATGTGGCTTCATATTTCAGGATTTACAACCTTACAGAAGCCACAAGCTGCTGCTGCTCTTCTTTTTTTTTTTTTTTCCTTTTAAAACTTAGATTGAAGGATAAAAAGGTTTAAGACTAAGGTTTAAAATCATCTGGAGGTGGATGAAAACATACATGGAGCACCCAAAAGAAAGAAGAGCACAGCACAGTACCTAAATAAAGACAGACTACCCAGAGCAACTTAAGATATGAACAGAATTGCAAGAGCAACTCCAGCGGAGGTAAAATCTCTGCGTGTATTGTCTTTAGTGTTCAAGGCAAGGTTGGACAGAGCCTTGGGCAACATGGTCTAGTGCGAGGCATCCCTGCCCATGGCAGGGGGGTTGGAACTAGGTGATCTTAAGGTCCTTTCCAACCTCAACCATCCTATGATTCATGATAAACATTGAGCGCACAAAAAGCAAGGGGAATATTTAAAGCTTTGTTTGCTTTTTACCTTCCAATTTATCCTAGGATTAAGAGTCACGCCATGAAACCAGAAGTCCAGTTAATAATATGATACAGGACTTGATAGTTTTCCCATATCTGTCCCAAACACTAGAATTTCCAAATCAGAAATATGTTTATTCACATATTGGATTATTTCCAGAACAGATATTGCTTAAATGGATCTTGGTAACAGAGTTTACATTGTTCCCCTCAATGTGATTTCTA